TAATCTATTCACATAAAAGAACATTACATATTTTCATTAAATCAAGAGTTGTTTATTGCGCTTAAACAATCCCAATTTTTATGAAAATAACAAACAAAAACACCAAGACATAAACAATCACTCTATAACGAATCTTAAGGAAAACGGTCGACTTATGTGGCTAAGAAGATCATTTACCTTAAAATTTTACAAAACACAAGTCACAAAAAAGATTCACGTATGAATTCGAAAATCACTTAACTAAAATATGTAGCTAAATTAGCTTCAATGATAACCGAATTCGACATACCAACCTACTTATGAAATCAAATTTATAATTCAACCGATTTAACATCAATTTGCGCAAATTGAAGAAACTAGTAAGAATCAATTTTCATTCATAAGAGATTTAATATAACATAAAAAACCCATAAAAGAACACCAACCATTTTGGAATTTTCGAAATTAACACAACAAGCAAAAAAAATGTAAATTTGAATTGAAACAACACTTTTACAAAGAAATTGGAGAAGAAATTGAAGAAATAACATATAGGGTTACCAATTATTGAAGAAGAAGAAGTAATTGAAGAATTGGAGCTTGAAGGAACCGATAAACCTCTGGCCGGAGCTTTTGCCGCCGGACGCCGGACTAACTCGCCGGTCATCACCACCGCCGCGGCTCTCAATCGTTGTTGTTCCTCGTGTTTTCCCCCCTCCTCTCTATGATTCCACTCTCAATTTATAGCTAGAGGAACAAAGGACCTTCAAATTTCTTCCCGTTGGAGCATTAATTGGCGAACATTGGAGCGTCTGGAGCGGGTCTTCTATCACGATCGCCATTCCCATTCAGTTGACGAAGAAGAAGTAAGTTGCGTCTCTTTCTTTCTTTTTTTTTTGATTTGTCCATTGAATGGGGATGAGGGTGTTGGGCTTGGCCCAAATGCAGTCTTTTTTCCAAACTTGAACTGCATGCATTTTTGGTCTTTGGCTGCTATATTTTCTCAGAAAAATAAGATATCTGATAATTTTGGGTTAGGGAAAAATAAAAAATAATAGAATGTAAAAAAATGATTAAAAAACTACTATTTTTGAAAGAAAATTAAAAGATTGTAAAAATAGAAATTAAAAAAAAACTAAGCTAAACAACTAAAAATTAAACACTAAAAATATTAAAAATGCCTAAAATTGAATAAAAAGAACTAACCCAAAAACAATTTATCAATGAGTTGCATTAAGGTTTTAAAACTATATTCCAGTTTAAGGTACTCCTAAACAACCCTTAAGCTAGTCCTAGTTTAAGATACAATTTTCAAAAGGGGTTTTCAAAATCTTAAACTTACCTTCGCTTAAGGTCAACCAGGAACCGAACAATGGAATGTTCACTGTCGGGTGGGTAGTACCTCCAAATGAGTAGGTACTCAAGTTTGGTTCTTGGATCCCATACCTACGTTTTAATCCTGGCCACCGAGCATCATACCCGCAAGGCCTAACTTAAATGGGTTTATCTTAGAGTTCTTCTAGATACTCTTCTAGATCAAAATCACTATGGGTATATCTTAGAGTTATTCTAGATACCATTGAAATCAATATCAATTAACTAAAATGATAACTTGGGTATATCTTAGAGTTATTCTAGATATCTTTAACAATACATATTTTCTTTTCGTAATCATCAATATATTCATTTTTAATCAAGATTCAATCATTCATAATTATTGTTTAATCAAAATATTCATCAAGGTTTAATCATCATAATCATCAATCAGTAATAATCATCATAATCATCAATCATCATGATATTCAATAACAAATAGTGGCCTAGCATCGAGTGCTAACACCCTAGCTTACCGTCATGCATCAAATAAGACTTTATTTGTCAAAAACATCATTTTTATTTCAAGAAATTAACTTTATGGAACTCAAAAATAACATTTTTCGTTGCTGACAGTGTTCAGAACGATCGACTTTGTGGAAGAACGGTCAACCGTTATTGCAACCGTGGTGGTTCTGGTCTTAAAACGTTCGACCTTTGTGGCAGAACGGTCGACCATTCCTGCAAACCAGCCAACATCACTTCATCTTCAACCTCAAGTTAAATTTTCGAAACATCATTTAAGTCACCAAAGTTCAATTAAACTATATAGAAGTGTTATTCAATGTTCATAGATCATTCTGGTATCATTAATTCTTAGTTTTAACAATAACTTAAAAGATTTACGATTCTTGGTTCTTCAATCATGTCAAACACAAAACTAAACCAAATGACCGTTTATGAACGTAAAAGAGATCTATACGAACATTCTAGTCACTAGATATATCTATAGGCTTACCTCGAAGCTTATGGGAGGTTTTGGAAAATTTCCGGTGAAACTTCCGGCAAGGATTATGGTTAGCTCCGGCGACGCGAAGCTCTCT